CTTTCCATCTGTAGTGCTAAAGTGCATATTTCATTTATCTTTGATCTGGAACATTAACTATTTTAAGTAACCCCTTCACTTAGTGGCTTGAAGCATTTTTATGGCTCAAACTGAATGGTCAACTTTGTTGCTTTTTTATTCCCCCCCCCCCTTCAAAGCTCCTTGTCCCACATCAAGGATGAATGATTGACAGGAACAGGTTGGGAAGAAATTTCAAGGCACATTAACCATAGAAAATAAGGGAAGAGAATTTTGCCCAAATCATGGGCACATTCCATCTAATCAGAGATTAAAGCCAATCCTATTTTTAGTTCACCTGAAACATTAGAGCGATATTTGTGTTTGAGATTTCCAGTTATTTCTCCAATCCATCTCAATGAAAGTTAAAGTAATTGTGGTAAAACTTTGTATTTTACCAAATGGCAGCGGGGGAGGGGAGAGTTGTCTCAAATTGCCAGTGCATCTTTACTCTCATCAGTTCAAAAATAAGCCTCACTTTGATGGAAGTTTGATGGAAATTTAATTGTTTATACATTTGCAGGCAAATACAGCTTTAGGAGCATACCACAGCAGTATAGTAGAGGTATCTCTAAAGCTGCTACCTATTAATAGATATGAGATGGGAAGGAAGGAAGGAAGGAAGGAAGGAAGGAAGGAAGGAAGGAAGGAAGGGTTTTCCTCAGAAAGATCAGCAATACGGGAGGCTGCATTTCATTTCATCCACGTATACTGGAACTTCCAACTGAAATGATAAAACATAAGGCATAGAAAATTCAATCACAGTTGTTACATTCTTTTTTTGGGGGGTGGGGACAGAAAACTCTGGATTTCTCAGTAGCTATAGCCATCGGTAACTTTTTCAGAAAGAAATACTAGAAAGAATAGTCACAAACAGTGATTTCAGACGATTATAAACATCATAAGAAATAGGGTCCAAAAGTGGAGAAAACTCTTACCAGCCCCAGATGATCACAGTGCAGCCGGGCAACCTGAAGAGCATCTGTTTAACAAGACTTTTCTGTTTTTTTTTCTCAAAGAAAGTCTGCAAAACTAATTTCCCACAAAATCAGACTCAATTTCCGTTTAAGCCACTGCTTCTTGCAATTCTCATAACGCGTCCCCCCCCCCCCCTCCAATAGTAGATGAAAAGGACGCGCGGGTGCCTGTTTTCATGCAAACCACTGGAAATCTCACGGATTGGGAATAAATATCTGGAACAACAAAGAATCAAAACAAAACTTTTGGAGGTGCCTAAAGGGAGGAAAAATAACCCCGATGTCTTTAAAAGATCCTTCGTTGATCAACAGTTACTTTGTTAAACCAATATGAACTAAAGCTGCTGTGCTGCCCTTGGCTCTTTCGAAGCGCCCTTGAATTTTTCCAGACACCTGAAACAATGCAAACGCGGCCACCAAAGGAGACAAAATAAATTTTTCGCTAAATGGGACGGTGTCGCATATAGCGAAAGCGGAGAACGTTAGGGCGGGAAAAGAGGTTTTTAGGATGCCGTGCGCTTGCTTCCCCCCGGGCCAAATGGAGTTTTTCAATGAGGCACGTGTTCTTGCGACGAGAGTTTTGTGGGTAAATGGAAACAGAGAGAGACGCGAGACAATTTGTATTCCTGGATGTTGCTTTCGAATCAGTCTTTGAGAGACTCCAGCGCAACTGCGGGCGCTGCAGCATCGGCTTCACCTGATTTGTCAAGGACAGTTTGTTACATGGGTATTTTCGGGGGATTTACAATAATTTTGAAACCGCCGGTGGGCCCGAGTTTTCGATTTCTGTTAGGCGTGACAAAACAGGAGGAGTCCAATCCTGCCTTTGGAACACTCCCGGCTCTGCTCAAAGTGGATCAAACTGATCTGGCGGGAAACGGTTCTAGCGCCGTTGATGCACTTCGGGGCTTCCCATAACGACCAACATATCCAAAGGTTTGCATCTTTCCCTCGAAGCTGTATCTTTCTGGATCTTCTTGCCCGCTTTTGAATTCACGCCTCAATGGCTTAATTTCCCCCCAATCCATGTGAGCCTTTCCTAGTGTGGACTTTCTAGTTTGCCTTTCAAAACGAGGTCCAGCATAATAAAGGCTCAAAGCTGAACTTCCTTTCTGCTTAATGATACATCACCCAAATCTTTAGAAAGAAGCGGTGCCTAATGTAGAATATGATTCCCCGAACAAATGGTGTAAACAGTTTGCGAACTGGGTTCAGAAAGAATGGAATCTATTGCATCTTTTCATTAAATTTTAGCAGATTATTAGAGATTTCCAGAGACAATATGTGTGGATCCAGACCTCCTTAACAATTGTTTAGTTTATACCAGGTTTCTTGATCTTGACAACTTAAAAAGGTATGGACATCAACTCTCAGACTTTCCCAACCAGCAAGCTGGTAGTTGAATTCACACCTCTGTTAGTCACCAAAATTGAGAACCAATGGCCTACACAGTTTCATCCTGAAGGAATGAATAGAACTTGGGAAGTCTCGGGATGATTTTATAGAAAGATAATTTATCTTATATCACAAAGTTTATGCCATTCTATTTGATACAAAAGCAGATTCCATCAATTTACCCAGAGTTAATAAAATAATCTGTATGGACACTCCTGAAAAGAATGAATTGCCTATAAACTGATGCCCTCATGATCCACTAGTTGACTATGACTTCACCCTACAGGCTTCAGAGTCTCTTTTGGGCTAACGGGCTGGAGCTTGTCCAAATTCAGATACTTGCTGTAAAATTGTAGATTAGTTCTTCTTTCACTCAGCCCAACCATCTTATAGAGCTTTCTTAAGGGGGCAAGGAATGGAGCCAGGAATATAGAGGAAAAAGAGGATATACATCAGCAATCAAATGATGGGGTCCAACCCGATTAAAGCATTTGTATAATTTAATAGAAAACATTCAGTACTATTTTTTATCACAAAAATTAGCCCAAATTACTTATCTTCTAGTGTAAAATGATACTTTATCAGAATTAGTTTATTGGTTCATTCATTGCATTTGTATCCAGAAAACTAAATGCAGTGTAAATAGGTTATCTTTTTTCTAATTTAATCATTTATAGGAAGTGGCAATTTTTATAATGAATTCCTTTGAAATCTATACAGTATGATATTTTGAAAGAAAGTGAGTGTTCCTGTTTTACAATGAAGCACATTCAATATAATTCCATATTTGTGGCACATTCTGAGAATTACTGTTTGAACATCATGAGAAAACCCGAGAACTGTCTTATCTCATGGGAACCTCTATATTCATAATTTATACAATCTTGACAATCAGTATTAACATAAACCTAAGTATTATTGTTCCTATATTGTAAACTGTGACAAAATAAATTTTTCTTAACATCATTTTGTACTGTCAAGCCTTTTATACATTTTGACTCACACAATTCTAGATAGAAGCCCAATCCTATGCAGTTTTATTAAGATACAACACCCAGTGATGCTTACTCTAGACAATGGATTCCATGGAAAGTAGCTGTGACCAAGGAAAAGAGAGAAAAAGAAAATGAGGCAAGAAAATATCTACTTGCTAATGAGGCTGTAATCATAATTGTAATATAATACATTTTGTGAGAAATCTCTGCCTCTGTTCCAGGTGTACCATGAAATATAGCTGCTAAATCTGAACATCTTAGGAAATACATTAGCCAGTATGATCTTTTAAGAATCTCTAACATTGGAAACTAGGAGATGAAACTGTTATTCAAACTTTAAACCAATCAATGGAATTTTAAAAGCTCCTTCATTTTTCTCCCATAAAGTAGAATCTCAAAAGATAAATTACAGTACTGTTTTCAAAATCATTCAATTCAGAAAAAGCTTGCCACATATATGATCAAATGGCAACCTTCTAACAAAACACACCTAGGATCTCTTTAGCATCATGAATGATATATTGAAAACCATGATTGATCATGTTATTACATTTCTATGAATTGCTTTTAAAATGTAGTCATTGATGATTGAAAGCTGCAATGGTCCAAACTTTTCTTCTGCTGCTTTAAAGAGACTGAAATAGATGGGTGCTGTCAATTTGACTTCAACTTTGGCTTGGAGATTGGTTGGAAATGAATTGAGATTTTACTTCATTCTCAGCATTGTTACTTTCTGAGTGAAGATGTTATAAGTGCAAAAGATGGGCAGAGTAATAACAGGCAGTTTGCAGAGTCACTTGGTCCTTTCACTTATACATTCTTCCTTTTTCTGGGTGACACAATCAGAACCTTAGCTCCAACGCCCCTATTTCATACCACTCTACTACTTAAAGAACAATTGCAGGTGGATGAATGAGAATTGACAAGAAAGTGATCTGTAGGTTAGTAAGAAGACATGGATTATACCAAGAAATATAAGCAAAAACAGACACTGTTTCTTGCTCACATCTGGAATAAGCCAAACCGTCTCCTTCATGCTTCTCAGAAAGAATACTTTAAGCAGTGTTCATCACAAAACGCTCTAAAAAGTATGGTAGCTAAACGTTGCCCTTCCAGACTTTCCTGGTTGCACTTTCTGGAATATCCTTACTTCTAGTACATCCATCACTACCCTAAACGAGGTAATAAAGGAGGAGAAGGAAGCTTCAGATGTGACAGGTGTGCTTTTCTTACCTGCACTCTTTCTGCGCCACACATAAAGGCAAGATCCGAGCCTTCATGGCCCGCGCCTTATGAGGGGCGTGTTGGGCGGAGCTCGGCGCTGGAAGGGCCACGGGTGAGGGCAGGCTGGACCCCTAAAGGTTTCTAGCCCAGAACTTATTAAGGCCCTGCAACTACATGCTTCTTGGGACTGACCCGACCCCTCGCAAGCAAGAGCGAGCCTGAACTGGGATCGGGGGCGAGGGCAGCTGCAGGTCGTTGTTGGGGTGGCTGTTGGGCTGGCGTTCGTATGTGGTCAGCGCCGCGCCGCTAAGCCAGCCCCCGGCTCACGTTACACACTCCTGTATTTATAACTTCGGCGAGGCGCTTCCCCCTCCGAGCATTAGCACGGACCACCTCTGTTCCGCCGCCTGCGAGCCCCGAGCGGCCGCTTCTTGAAACACCCGAGCGAAGCCAAGGCCGGGATTGGTAGCCAAGCGCAGGAGATCTGGATTACACCCGAGCGACGCGGCGCGCAGCCACCGGCCTTAGAGGTGGCTGGGAGGAGAGGGGAGGACCGAGTCGCTCCTTATCCTCCGGCGGGCGTTCGCTGGCAGTGGGGTGGCCGTTCGGAGCCCTGCCGCATGCCATGGATCACACTCTTTTCGGCTGCCTACGCAGTCCTCACCATCCCCCTGGCCAGGGCTTGCACCCATTCTCACAGTCTGCGCTTGCCCTGCACGGCCGCTCCGATCACATGTCCTACCCGGAGCTCTCCGCGTCCTCCTCCTCTTGCATCATAGCGGGATACCCCAACGAGGAGGGCATGTTCGGCAGCCAGCATCACAGGGGCCACCACCACCACCACCACCACCACCACCATCACCAGCAGCAGCAGCAGCAGCAGCACCAGCAATCGCTACAGACAAACTGGCACATCCCGCAGATGGCTTCCCCGCCACCGCCTCCACCGCCTCCCCAGTCCGCCTCCTCCAGACACAGCCTGTGCCTTCAGCCCGACTCGGCTGGACCCCCGGAGCTAGCCAGTAGTCCCCCAGGACTGTGCTCGAATTCATCAAGTTTGGGGACCGGCACCCCGACAGGAGCAGCGTGCGCTCCGGGAGATTACGGCAGGCAAGCGCTGTCCCCGGTGGAGACGGAGAAAAGAATGGGCAAGCGGAAAAGCGACAGCTCAGGTAAAGCCACTTCCCTTGCGTTTCTTCTGTCCGGGAAAGCCCCCCCACCCCGGTCTCTCCTCTCTCTTTCCCTCTCTGAGAGAGAGAGAGAGAGAGTGGGAGAGAGAGAGGAAGAGAGAGAGAAAAGAAAAAGAAGAAGAAAATAAAACCTGGGATGGGTAATCGGGCAGCTCTGAAAAAACAGAAGTCGGTATTGGATTTTTTCTGGAAGCCTTCGGCGCATGAGCGCTTGATACCTCGCGTAGTGACAAGACCCCAGTTGTAGCACGCCAGGGCTTAACCACTGGCCTACCACTACACTAACTAAAAGATTATACTTGCTACTAGATGCCTCATGATAGAGTTAGGTCACAAGTCTTAAGGACATGGATTAGGACACTTTGGAGCTAGGATCCTTGAATTCCTGCTCTAAGAGGTTGCAGAATCTGTGAAATCACAGCCTGTCTAAAGAATGCAGTTTGGAGGCATCCGATATTCAGGTTTATCCTTAAGTCAACTATATCTTTCTTTCTTATCAAGATTTTACCTAAGGAAAAAGCTGTATTCATGGTCACAAAATGTACCATTTCCCCAGTCAAGGAGTAAATTCTATTTCTTTTTAGGACTTCCCATCTAGAGAATTTCTGGGATACTGGTAGAATTAAGATACAATCTACTACTGTAATTTTATTTTGGTTAGGCTTATAAAATGAAGACAGATTGCAAAAATATGGAAACTATTCTAATTTTAAAATGAAATTGTAGAAATGGATGCCTAGGCCTCAAAAAGTACATAAAAATAATCAAATGAAAGTGTTTGTGTACAAATATGAGTATTTGTATATTCCTTCTCTAAGTATAATTATTTCATGTAACTTAAGTTAGCATACTGGCACAGTAATTTAACTATATTTATTTTATCATCCTTAGTTGGATACTTTTGGTTTATATTTGTACTATTAAATGCATGTTTAGATTTGTTTTTATATATGTGTATATCTGTGTATACATGTGTGTATGTCTGTGTATATATGTTTGTGTTTATGCACCCATGTGTGCACATATATTACAGTATATATATTTATTTAGAAAATAATTCCACATTTTGATCAAATAAAAGTCATGGTCTACTTTGAAATTTAAAAGTGAAAAACTATCCATAGTTGTATCTGAATTTTTAGGACTGTTATATAGAAATGTACTTCCTTGACAGTTTAATGCAAAATATTTTGAGTTTTACTCATTTTGAAACTTGTTGTACTCTGTCTTGTAGTTTAGGAAGACAAACTGAAAAGCTGATTTGAATTGCATTTAAAAAACTATGTTACAAAATATACTTTTCTATAAAAATGGTTAAATGGGTAAGAAAACTTCAGGCAGTCCTGGATGAAGGATGTTTCATTATAACACTGCTAAAGGTAAGAAATAGATTTGTATACATGCACACACATCTTCACACACACACAATAGGATGGTATAAAGCTGAGTTTAGACAGAAATCTGAAGGATTTCTACTTATGAGTAAAAATAAGAAGGAAGGTAACTCTTTAATTGAAAATTCTTTTCTTTAAAAAAAAAATTGGTGGCTTTTTGAATTTGTTCAATTTAGAATAGAATTCAACTATTTTCTGTGTTAATTAGATGTAGAAAACTAGAATTATACCAACTTTTTAAATTTTAGTATAATTGTTGCCTAGTAATTGACAAAATAAAGCCGCAGGCTAAAGATTTGAAAGACATATAAATTAGAATTTATTTGAATTATAATAATTATGAATCAAATAAAAGTAATTATAATATTCTAGAGGCATAATGTTGGTTGACTTCTAAGGATAATAATGTTATATAATGCAGTATGTAGGAAAAGTGCTATATAATAATAAAAGGAAATCTTCATAAATATTATCTAGGTATCTAAAAAGATTGTATATCTAAATAATTAAAAGTTAATTACATTAGTTTTCTGTATGATATGTTAAATTAAATATAAGAACACAATTCTATAAAACTTTGATTGGTAACTAGTCTTAATTATAGTTTTATGTTCATGTTTTACAAAGAAAAATTCAGTGTGATTAACCTGCCGATATAAATTTATAATATCAGTTGGCATTAATAGGTATATCTATCTATCTATCTTTAATCTTTCTTATACAGGATAAAATACACTCACTATAAACTTTAGAAAAGTATTTTCAATATATGTATTTTCCATATATTTTCAATATATGGATTGAAAATATCAAATTTAAGATAATCAGACCCATATATTTTCATAGGCCAAATATTTCTACATGTAATAAATAGATTATATTTATTTACATATTTGGATATTTTTATGGAGATGTATAATGTTTACCATATTTGTATATTATCATTTCTTATATTTACATACTATATTTAAAATAAAAGATGAAAAGCCATCAGAGATACATAAGAGTGCATTAATTAAAAAAAACTTTTATAACATAAATCAAGAAAGAGTTTCACAAGATACTTAATAATTATTTATTTACAGTTGTTGAGAGGAAACAATAGGGAAAACATTCTTTAGTTATTTCTGCACTATAATAATCTCTGGTGTTGAATTATTTATGGAATACATACAATATAAATGGCAATGTGTTTGTGCTTTGCTAAAACACTGGCAGGTCTGGCAACCTCACTGTTGCTTTTAGATGCAGGATCTTAAACAAAAAATCTTATTTATTTTCCTGTAGGGTCAACATGATCCCATTCAGAAATCTAGGTAGTTGCACAGGGTGATATTGTAGTTTGTGGGTGGAGCAAAAATGGAAAGAGGCTTCAGGTAAGTAATGGCAGATAGCCTCAGTATATACAGATAGTTCTCAACTTACAACAGTTAGTTTAGGGACTGTTTGAAGTTACAACGGCACTGAAAAATTGACTTAAGACTATTTTTTGCACTTATGATTGTTGCAGCATCTCCATGGTCATGTGATTTACATTCAGATGCTTGATAACTGGTTCATATTTATGACGTTGCCTTGTTCTGGGGTCATGTGATCCCCTTTTGAGACTTTCTGAGAAGCAAAGTCAATGGGGAAGTCAGATTCACTTAACAACTATGTTACTAACTTATCAACTGCAATAATTCATTTCACAAATGTGGCAAGAAAAGTCGTAAAATGGGGCAAAACTGACCTAACAAATTTCTCACTTAGCAACATAAATTTTGGGCTCAGTTGTGCTCATAAGTCAAGGACTACCTGACCAAGGGTGGAGACTAGGTACCAGGAGATAATACCAAAGAGAAACAGACAATTCTCTTTGCTTTTATTTACTTGAGATTTTGGTAGCTCAGATGTGATAGCTTCAGTCTGGAGATGCCTTGAGCTGCTTCTGATGCTGTTTATTCTTTCAAGCAAGCCTTTTCCCTAAGTATAGTCCTGGGCTGATGACTGATATTGAAAGCAAACATCCAAAGGTGTTACCTTAGAAGCCAGGGATCTCTAATTATACTTCTGCATCAGAAAAAAATTCACAGAAAGCTGAACAAATATCATTTTTACTCTGTCTTATACCGATGTTCCATGGACAATAATATAATAAAACATAATAGAAACCCAGTAAAGCAGAGTATGATATCACAGTAGATAATATAGTAATCAAAAGTAACAGGCCATTCCTTGTATTTTGTTGCCAAAAGCTTATTCCGACAAAATATACCCACTTTCTCTAAAATAATGCAACATAAGCAAAAAAAAAAAAAAAAAAAGCCCACCATCATTCATTTTAAGTGACGCATATTGCCTACAATTTCAATTTTTTGTTCCAGGAAATATTGTGTAATATTTATAATAAAATCTTAAATATCACAAATGAATTTAATTCTAGTAAAACTGACAAGGGAGATGTTTGGTTAAGAAATAGGAAATTAGATGATGAGAGAGAGAGAGATGAGAGAGAGGGAGAGAGAGAGACAGAGATATATATCTTCTCCTCTTTATTTTTCCACCATTGACTCTGTAATTAGAATTCCAAAATATTATGTAGTATATGTTCATCTTCATTATTTTCTTGGGCTGATATGTTCTTATCTTCTTTTCATGTGATGCTACAGTTTATATTAAGCCACAAAGGCAATTAAAAAGCTCTGATCCTGCAGCCCCAATTTTAATGAAAGTTTATAAGGCCAATTAAGTTCAAGAGGCAAATACGTCGGTTTAACAAAATGATGATTGAAAGGTTAAAAGATTTTAGCATTTATTTTAGATTACTTGCTAAAATATTTAATGATCTGTCCATAGATCACAAAATTAAAAAAAACTAGATATATTTCTAGATATATGTTTTAATTTTTTTCAAAAAATTGAGAAAATAAAGTTTTTCTAAAATTCTGAGTCCTATTGTAGTATGCATTTCTGTCCCATATTTAAACATCAGAGACAGAGTTTACGTGCTTTAACACTTCAGATAAATGGGTTATAATTTTGTAATTCTGTGTTAGTACAATTGATGTATAGTTTTTTTATATTGAAGTAGCCCTAATATAGTAGTCCTATGTTACCCCAATGCATAGAGAGATTGTCCAGGAGTAATGTTTGATGGATTATTTTGTAAATATTTAGTGTACTTTCTAAGAAATGCCTTTGAAAAAATCATGTACATTCAATGATATCCATGTCGGAGAAAATGATTTGATAAATGTGTGCTAACAATATGAATTCATTGCTTTTAGTAACTTCTAATTACTCTCCAAAACATTTCAGTAAGAAAAATGACCTATATATCTTTTCAAAAGGAGCACTATAACTGATTCATCAAAGTTCTTAAACCTTTCAGCATACTGCTAAGTGTAAACAAGCAAATAGAATTCTTTGTGATTTTCTTTTGGAGAGAGTTAATTTGTTAACGATACTAGGTTTCATTATCAGCATGTCTAATGATGCCTATTGGGATGTGGGGTTCCTATTTCTTAATAAGCATGCTGCACGGTGAATTGCTTTTGAACTTTTGTTAGGACATGGGAAATCCTCCTCTATTGAAACAGGGAAAAA